TCACTGAGCCATGGGCACCGCCCTTGATTTGCATTTTTAAAGTATTATTTTTAAAGAGTGGTGCTCACCTTGCTAGCACTGAGTAGGGTTATTTAAATTTTTTTTTTGCTAATTTTATAGTTGAAAAGTATATTATTGTTGTTTGAATTTGCATTTATGAGAGACAAAAGCAATGTGCTACTTTCTAACTATTCTTAAGTCTTTTACGTCAATGCTTTTGTTCTGTTTCTAAACAGATCTGATCTTCCTCCAGAACAGCTCCTCTTCCCAGCTTTCTGATTGTAACAATGGCGGTATTACTCTCCTTGTTTCTCCAATTTCTGAACTACAGATTCAATTTTTCTTCTCTACTTCAGTCCCTGAAGTTCCTGTTAGTCACCAACTGTGGCCATTCCTTCCTTTAAACGTGTTTTCATTTTATCCTCTTCTGTGTTCCCATGGGAACACCACCACCATCACTGGCCAAGGCTCCCATGCCTCCCACCAGGATCACAGTAAGCCTCCTGGTAATTCTCTGTTACTAGTGCCTCCTACTTGGATTTCACTTCCTCCTGCTGCAGAACTGACTTCCACAGAGCAATGCTTGGCACATACCACTCCTTTGCCCATGGGACTGAACCTAGGAACCTCGGCTGGAGACTTACCCTCTCAGCCACTGCTCATAGCTTCCCAACCAGAAGCTTCAAGGTCCAAATATTTCCCCATAGCTTGCCTGTGCTGTTTTCTCCTCTTCCTGGAAGGCCTTGTTTTCCTCTCCTCTAGTACGTTGCCTGTAATTTCCTTTAAGGCTTTGTTCAATATTGGTCAGTGCCATGAATTTGTCCTACACTCTCCCACCTACTTAGGCATTTGACACTATCTTGCCATCACTTTTCCAAAGTATGGAACAACATGGACAATTGGACCATTATTTTCTTTTTTCTTTTTTTTTTTAAAGTTCCTTATTTTTAAAAAATTTCAGATTAAGGCTTGGTGCCCATAGCACAGTGGTTACGGCGCCAGCCACATATACAGAGGGTGGCAGGTTTGAGCCCGGCCCGGGCTAGCCAAACAGCAATAACAACCACAACAAAAAAATAGCCAGAGGTTGTGGCAGGTGACTGTAGTCCCAGCTACTTGGGAGGCTGAGTCAAGAGAATCGCTTAAGCCCAAGAGTTTAAGATTGCTATGAGCTGTGATGTCACAGCGCCCTACTGAGGGCGACAAAAGTGAGATTCTGTCTTAAAAAAATTTCTTTTTCAGATTAAGGCCAGGCACTGTAGCTCATGCTTGTAATCCTAGCACTCTGGGAAACCAAGGAGGATAGATTACTTGAGCTCATAAGTTTAAGACCAGCCTGAGCAAAAGTGAGATCCTGTCTCTACTAAAAAATAGAAAAGCTGAGGCAAGAGGATCGCTTGACCCCAAGTTCGAGGTTGCTGTGACCTATGATGCCACACACACCAGAAGGACAGTTTGGGACTCTGTCTCAAAAACAAAACAAGAAAAAATAATTTCAGATTAATGTGAGGTTACAAACAACTAAGTTATAATGTTTGTATTTGTTAGGTAGAGTCCCTCTTGCAGTTGTTTTCCACACCCAAGAGATGAGCCACATACCCTTACATTGTGCCTACTAAATGGGAGCACACCAATCTCCCTCCCATCTTCGCTCCCCACTCCCTCCTTACCCCTTCTTCCAACTTGTATTGAATTCAGTTTTTCTCTTATGTGGGCATGTATTAGATCTTCTACTGGCTTCATATTAGTACTGAGTACACTGGATACTAGCTTTTCCTTTGTTGTGATAACTTTACTAAAAAGAATGTGTTTCAACTCCATCCAGGTTAATATAAAAGATGTAAAGTCTCCATTGTCTTTATGGCTGAATTGTGTTCCATAATATATATATGCTGTAGTTTGTTTCCCGATTTTTTTTTTTTTTTGAGACAGAGTTTCACTGTATAACCCTTGGTAGAGTGCTGTGGCGTCACAGCTCATAGTAACCTCAAACTCTTGGGCTTAAGTGATCCTCTTGCCTCAGTCTCCCAAGTACCTGGGACTACAGGCACCCGCCACAATGCCTGGCCATTTTTTTTGGTTCCAGTAGTCATTGTTGTTTGGCAGGCCAGGGCAGCTCCAGTGTATATGGCTGGCACCCTAGCCACTGAGTTACAGGCGCCGAGCCAAGGCAAAGTTATTTCTAGGGGAGAGTGATACATTCATTTTGAACTAGTTGTGCCTGGGGTGATGACAAGATATTCAAATAGATTTCTCCTTTGGGCCATTGGAAGTGTGGGCAGAACTGTGGAGAGAGGTGGGGGCTCGGAATATTAACTTGGGAGTCATCTGCAGAACAGGGGATGCAGAATTTCGAATGTCTATAGAAATGGGGAAGAGGGCCAAAGATAGAATCTGGGGCAACACCTAAAGCCATATGTCAGAACAATGGTCCAAGATGAAGCAAAAAGAATGGTACTTAGACATGGAGGAGAAAATCAAAAGAAGTGGAAAAGGAGGCAGAAACAGCAAGCCATTTTTTCAAAAAGTTTGTTAAAGGAATTATGAAGGGGATGTAGTAGGATTTTGGGAAAAATTAGGGAAATAACCAGTGTGTAGATCCAGGGAAAAGAACAATTAAGGTAGGAACTACTGCAGGAACAAACAAAAGGGGGATTGTGTGTGCATGGTACATGCATGGTGCTCATGGGGGTTGGGAGGGTTGGGAGGTGGGGGTGGAGTGTCTGGGACCAGGTACCTGCCCAGGGCTGTTAGGTTGCCTGGCTAGAGCTGCTGTGTAGGGTGAGCCTGCTCAGTGAGGAAGAGGACAATATGGTCTGGAAGAGGAGAGAGGGAGGGTGCCTGGCTGGGCTGAGGAGGCATCCAGTCTCTTGCACCAGGGCAGATGGAGAGAGAGGGCCTTGGAGTGCTCAAGGAGATAAAGATAGTGCAGGTAAGGTGGTGAGAGCTTTAGTCTCAGCCACTTTTGCCCCATCCCTCCAAATATACATTCTATGTGAAACAAAAACAAAAGCAAACAAAAAAGCCCTACCTCTGTGTTTGCTCTGTGAACTTAGCGTCCAAAGCCCTCCTCTGTAGGAATTCTGGAGCTGCCACTGCACCCAGAAATGGCTAATTAGAGAGAAGAACCTCCTTGTGACTATGGTTGTTAGATACTAAAAGAGGAGAGCAGAGCAGGCCATACATATCCACACCAGAGGAACTTTCCAAGGGTAGTATTGCATAGTATATCTAATGGGCCTAAATTTTAACCCTAGCTCCACTACTTAGTGAAGTCAAAATTCAAAAGCTAGAAGAGGATATACAGTGAAAACCCTTCCTCCTCCACCTGTTTCCTGTGTCTTCGCTTCCTCTCCCCAGAGGCAACCAAAGTTATCATTTTCTTATGTTTACTTCCAGAATCTTTTTTCATATACAAGGCATACATTTTTTTCTCCCCCTTTGAATTTTTTCATTTTATTTGTTTGTTTGTTTATTTGAGACAGAGTCTCACTCTGTTTCCCTGGGTAGGGTGCTGTGGCTTTGTAGCTCACAGAAAACTCAAACTCTTGGCTCAAGTGATTCTTTTGCCTCAGCCTTTTGAGTAGCTGGGACTACAGGCACCCGTCACAATGTCTGGTGAGTTTTTCTATTTTTAGTAGAGATGGGGTCACCCTCTTGCGCATGTTGATCTGGAACTCGTGAGCCCAGGTGATCCACCTATCTCAGCTTCCCAGAGTGGTAGGATTACAGGCACACCATGCCTGGCCCTTCTCCCCCACTTTTAGACAAACAGTAGATAGTTTAATATCATGCCTTCATCAGTTATATTTCTTAGATATTGTTCTCTATCAGTCATAAAGACCTTCCTTATTCTTCTGTTATGGCTGCATAGCAATTTACTGAATGAGTAAACTATAATTTATAATATTTAACCTAATCTTTTAGGTGGACATTTAATTTTGTATATTTATTTGTAATTCTAATAGCTATTACAAATTACCCTCCAAAAAAGTTGTACTGGTTTATACTCCTGCCAACAATGTGTAAGAGTTTGGGGAATTACTTAAGTTTCCAAGTCTCAGTTTCCTTACCTGTAAAATAAACAAAGCAGTACTGATTTCTTAGAATTATTATGGAGATTGCTGAAGATGATACATGAATTATTTGGCATGTAGGACTTATTGCCCTCCAAATGAGAATATTGTTTTATTTGGCATTAGAGACATATTGTCCTAGCCAGGTAAATGGGTATGAGGGGACCTCCTTGCCAGCCTGGGGCTCTCTGATTTGGACAAGGGGCATATTCTGGAGGAAGTAGCAACTCAGGTCAGTTGTGTACATGGCCAGGCACTGTATCTCATGCTTATAATCCTAGCATTCTAGGATGCGAAGGTAGGAGGATCACTTGAAATCAGGAGTCAACCAGCCTGAGCAAGAGTGAGACCCCCACCTCTGCTAAAACCAGAAAAGTCAGCCAGATATTGTGGTGGGCACCTATAGTCCCAGCTCCTGGGAAGGCTGAGGCAGAAAGATTGCTTGAGCCCGGGAGTTTGAGGTTGCTGTGAGTGAGGTTGACTCTACAGCACTCTAGCCTGGACAACAGAGTAAGACTCTGTCTAAAAAAAAAAAAAGAAAGAAAAGGGCGGTGCCTGTGGCTCTCAGTGGGTAGGGTGCTGGCCCCACATACCGAGGGTGGCAGGTTCAAACCTAGCCCTGGCCAAAACTGCAACAACAACAACAACAACAACAA